TACTGAAGTCAAACGGTCGATTGGTTGCCTCAGTTCCATTGCCGTAGCCGCCGAGTCCGTCTCGTCTTTCGATTCGAAACTCGTTCCGCGATCCTTCTTGCCCTGCGGCCATGTTCTCTCGGCTTGTAACCTCGGATGACATACCTGCCTTGATTAGTTTCGTGCCCCAAGTCAATGAGAGCTGACGTACATTGTGGCTTCGAGGGCGTCTTTCCACAGACCGTAATGCTCAAGTACTTCAGGCAAACCTAATGATCTTTCTCCGGTTATGCCATCCCAGTCATCCATTCTCCCTTGGCCTATCTCCTTTACAAGCTCCAATTCAATCGAGCCAGGAAATTCTTTTCCGTGGGAGATTTCCAGTCCGGCAGCTTTCATCATGTCCACGACCCAAAAACCTTCGGGATTTTCTGTGATCTTGTGGTGCCCAACAGGCAAGGCAAATTCAACATCGATAAACGCGCCTGGGAGGAGGAACCTAGATTCTCAAGACTCAGTGAATGTTCCTTACGAAATAATACAGAATCGTTACCTAACTAGTTCCTCGAGAAGATCCATCGTGATTGGGGTCCCGGCGGTTCCGAAAAGTATGTATGGGCGAGACGCCGAAGTGTGGAGCTCGAAGTTGTGCCTGTTCTTGTCAGTAGAATAACGCATCAAGATTTGCCAACGTACGAATAGTCCTGGAGAACAATTTTGTTCTTGCTGTCGTCCTCCGTGTGATGCGATATCGAATCCGACTGTCGCATCGCCAAGGTCGCTGTTCTGAACCTATAATAACGATCGAAGACAATCAGTGTCCCCTCCTCAACATCCGAAAGATCAGCATAGCGCGTTCGTCTCCGCAACGCGTCGATCGTCTTCGTGGTTCCGTCATCGTGGATGGCGATCTGTGATGCGAGCTCGCTAATGTGATCAATCTCGGCGTCATGACTGTCATCTGAGGACTTCAATTTGTGTTCAACATCAGGAGTTTGACCGATCGCCATATTCTGTCTTGAAGAAAATCATTTGCTGAAAACAGCTGCGGAGTATGGTTCAAATCTGTTCAGCTCTCTACTCTGGAGCACGACGCCTTTACAACATCCTGTCTTTGGTGCACGGTCTCGTCATCTCGCCTCATAGTACCTAGCCACTAACCAAGCCGTGGTGGGTCTCGAAACTAGCTGGGGCTGACTGCCCGAAAACTCAAGACAAACACCCCTTGA